TGCGCAAAGGGCCACCATTTTGAGTGCGCGCGAGTTATTGCGAGAACGCGCTTGGCGAAGGGGGACGCCATTTTGAGCGCGCGGGAAAAACCGCGGTGGGGCAAATATTCCATCTGTTATGCCGCCATTGTTGATTGGGTGATGCACGAGTTGTGGTCACATCGGCCTATGGCTGATGGCTGACCTGACAGCCCGGAGGCGAAACCTCCGTGGTATGTCTTAAACTAATGGGCCATGTGCTCATATGGCTCGGGGAGTCATGGTTCAGTTGTGCGGTGGCAGACTGAACCTGGTGTGCCGGGGGCTCACGGGATCTGGGTTAGGGTGTTATTGTCTCTATAAGAGAACATTGCCCCGTGGGGGGAGTCCATGGGGTCTGGCATTGCCGGGGGATGAACCTTCCCTGGGCTATAAAGCATCAGACTATACGAGGCTGGTGTGTGTCCATCTCTGATGGGATAGTAAGGGAGGAGCATGGCCGAGTTGCTGCTCATCCCCGAAATTGCACTAGCCGAGAGTATGGTCAGTGGATGTTGCTGTGGGTTGACGACCACGGTGGGGGTTAGGGCGAGTTAAACGTTACCGCTGGGGAGCGTGGCTCTCTCCACGCGAGGGTGTGCGACTGGGGGCTTTGCTGAGAGTGACCGTGGGTACATGCTGTGTACGTGCGATGTCTGTGCTGGTCCTCAAGGGAGGATTGCTGGTGGGCAAGAGCAGGAAATTTTGTTGTTGTTGTTGTTGTCACGTGCAAATAATATTGTTGTTAAAATGTAAATACTGGGGCATCCATCGCGTCTATTTTGGGTATTTATGGGGGTTTTCTTAAGCGGGCCGGATTTACATCATCTCCACTACCCTGGGGCCGGGTGGCTGTCGTGTACGACATGTGGATGTGCGTTGTTGTGCTGTGCCTCAGGGGATTGGATTCTCCTTCTCGTCACAGATCTTCAGTGCCTGCCACACTGGGTGTTACCTGGTGTGCTAACTGGATGAGGACTTGAAGGAGCGATTGAGCGCCCGTTCGTCATTCCTGCTCTACCACTTGCTCTTTGACGTTGGACTTGAGCCGAGCGGATGGAACTGCAACATGGACACGCACTAAAACATCACATTCCTGGGTTGTGCACGTCGGCCGTTCTTGCGTGTCAGTTGCCGTTGTTGTGCATTGTGCCATTCTTATTCTTGTTGTTGTTGCGCGGAGGACAGGCCGGTGTTCTGTTCCAGTTCCTGACACCTCCCCTTTCGTTACTTGTGTTGTTGTTCTTATAATCTCCGTTGTGTCTGGGGGACTCCTGATTGTGATGCCTTCGCCCGCATTATTTTGTTCTGTTTCAGCCGAGGACGGCTGGAATTTTCTCTACGGGGGAGGGTGGTGTAATGTGGGCGTAAATGGGCGGGGCAGATATGACGATCCGAGAGGGAGGAGTCAGGGTCACGGGGGGGGGGGGGAGAAGTTATAGCGGGGAGACAGGAAGCCATCTGGGTCAGTCGGGGGAGTGAAGGGTGGTGAACACGTTGGGTGGTCGCCGTGCCTCAGCCTGGTGGCTGAGGGGCTCATGACGGCGCCAGCCAGCGGGGTGGAAGAGAGAGTTGGGGATAGAGACAGAGAGTGGCGAGATAGCCACAGAGGCCACGCAGGGCTGAGGTTGGAGATGGCGAGATAGCCACAGAGGCCACGGAGGGCTGAGATTGGGGAGTGGCGAGATCGCCACACACGGTAAGACTCGGCACCGCCGGCCAGCGGTGACCGAGCACGGAGGAACAGGGAGCAGCGGTGGAGCTGCTGTGAGAGCAGCCGGAGGGCTGCACCAAGAGCCTGCAGCGGAGCTGCAGGAGCGCGGAAGGCTACGGGAGCGAAGGCAGCTGTGGAGCTGCCAGGCAGAGAGTCTCAGGAGGAGTGCCGTGAGGGAAGGAGAACGCGAACCCAAATAAAGGACACGGAGTCAGAGAGAAGCGTCCGAGTCTTTTATTACACAAGCATGCATTGTCACAAGATCTGAGTACGTGTGCAAAATGTGGAATTGATTGGACAACGGGAAATGGACGACATTTTGATGACAAGATTTGACCCAGACAAACAGAGGAATCAAGTTAAGTAAAACCATTGAAAAACTGTTGAATAAAACCGTTGAAAAAACAAGTTAACACTGGACAATTACTTTGATCATCAGTAACCACGATCTATATCCACTGCCAAATGAAGGTCTCCCCAAGTCAAAAGTATCTCTCAGAGTCCTTGTCATGCAGAATTCCATCGACCACCTGCACATGGGACAATTACATCGCTGCCACCCCACGGGAGACATCCCCTCGGGTGTTCCCTTCTTTGTATGTATGAACAGTACAGGAGTCCACGCACAGGGACTCTTCTACTTACGAACGAGTTAGGTCCACGCACAGGGACTCTTCTACTTACGAACGAGTTAGGTCCATGTACAGGGACTCTTCAACTTACGAACGAGTTAGGTGAATGTACAGGGACTCTTCTACTTACAAACACGATGTCGATTTGCATGGACTTCTCTACTTACGAACACGTTAGTTCCATGTCAGGGACTCTTCTTACGAACGAGTTAGGTCCATGTGTAGTGACTGACTCAGAGACACTAAGAGTAGGAGACACTTCTTTATTAAACGGCCTTAACAGTTGACACTTGGTAACTACGGTTCCAGTCAGGACAGCTGGTAGACTGCCTGACTGGCGACGCCGAGACGGTGAAGACGGAGACGGCGGCGAAGACTCCAGCAGCACGATGGGGACCCCCCCCCCCCCACTCCACACGATGACAGCCCCGAGGTCCCCTCCCGGGGCCCCTCTTATACTGCCAGCGGTGCCCGGCCCCGCCCCCGGCCGCGCCCCCTTCTGAAACCTACTAGCGGGTTCTCGATGTGCCCCTTCAGTGACCTTTCCCCTACATCCCTCTCTGGTCTATCACGTGACCTGCTGTCAGTCAGGGCTGCTGTAAGCTGCAGATCCCCTTCCCTGCCAGCAGCCAGCGCTATGCTGCTACGTGACCAATTCAATGTCACTACACTTGTGTCGTGAGTCACTTCGGAGGCACTAGAAGTAGAAGGCACTCACATTTATTCCAACCATCACAGGCACAGGGGACAACTATATAACTGGTCATGATAGCTGGCACACTGCCTGACCAACAACGCCGAAGAGGTGAAGACGAAGACGTAGAATGATGGGTTCCATTCCAGACCACAGCCCTGACTCAGTGTCGGGACCTTCCTTTTATGCCCCCCAGCGTGGCCTGGCTCCGCGCTCGGCCGCGCACCCTTCTGGAACCTACCAGAAGGTTCTGAGCTATACCCCACGTGTCCCCTCTGTCACCTTTGCCCTACATCCCTTACCCCGGCCTATCACGTGCCCTGCTAGCCGACCGAGCTGCTACGTCCTCAGATGCCCCTTCTCTGCTAGCAACCAGCGATACACACCTTAGTGACCCATTCTATGTCACTACACATGTACAGGGACTCCTCTACTTACGAACGAGTTAGGTTCCAGAGGTACTGTTCGTAAGGAGATTTGTTCATAAGTCCAACTTTACTCCAGTCGATTCCAAACATATGTAGTGGGTTCAATTTAGGTGCACACTTCTTGGGAGGCAACACTAATTTATTAGAACAGTAAGTATTATAACACTGTACATTACACATAGAGTGGTGACCACCGACCTACTCTAGCTAACACACACTTCTCTAACTCTCAGCTACTCTAGGCGTGACCCAGCCAGGTGGGCTACTGGCAGGTCCGCTGACTGGAGGCTTGACTCTTCTTGGCGTCTTCACGATGCATCTTCATTCTTGGCACAGGCAGCCCCGAACCTCGTGAGGAGGCTGCTTATATGGGGCTCGGCGTGCCCGGGCCCCAACCCGGCCACGAGTCCCTTCGAGAACCCTCTCCACGTGCCCCCCCCCCCCCCCCCCCGAGGTCCCCCTGGGCCCCCCGGCCCCCACTGGGATCCGCTTACGTGTCCAGCCGGGATCACAGCGAATGCCACGGCCTCGCAGCACCCCCGTGGCCTCCCGAGTCCCGCACTGGCCCTTACGTCTTTCCCCCCTCCAGCCGGGATGACGTCATGTTTGTATGTAGACCCACGTGGTCGTGACGCTCCCGGCATAGTGACGTCACACGTGTGCGGGTATACACAGTAGTCATGCTACAATCACTACACATGTACGGCATGTACAATAAACACGGGGAATGACTTTAAAAGTTGTATAAAGTAGAGGAGTCCCTGTATGTTGAACTTCTTTCGCACCGTACATAGCCACTCCCACACTCGTCTATTACACATGACCACCATCCCTTCTAGGAATGTGCCTTTCAGGGGCCGCCCGATAATCTAAATCCAGGGTGTCCGTTGCTTGAAGACTGAGCCTGTTGCGAATGCCAATCCACTGAAAAAATATATCACACACATTAAATTTGAGGAAAAAATAACAATGTTCGTATCGCTCACCTTAGAATTACATTCACCTTCGTAACAAGTACAGGACTGCACTTGTCTGAGCTCACCTCAACATTTGGCAAACCTAACGGTAGTATTTGCACGGTCGAGAAGACAAAGAGATCTTGATTTGCAGCTTTCGTGACTGCAGGAATCCATACTCTTCGGTTATTTAGGTAAAGTCACGTAGGTAGATCGAAACGTCGTGATCTATTATTTCTACTTGACTTTACCAAAAGAACCAAAGAGTAAAATAAAGAGAGCTGCAAAAGTAAAGCGCTCAAGTGTGTTTATGTGCACAGATTTGATTAAGTTGAAGAGATAAAGCAATCATCCTTCATTCAACAACTACCCCACGGTAAGTGTACTGTGTAAATTGCTTTACGCGACGCGCGTCTTCAAAGTCGGTCATCTGAGAAGTCACTCCATGCTCCTTTCCAGGAAAACCGACTCAGCGCCGAGCGCCAGATTTTACAAAGCTCCTTCACTCCGAGCCGCAACGGTCAACTGGTACTCCGCCTACTGGCCCAGCTATAAAATAAGAGGCGACTTTGGTACCACTGAGCTGTCCACACTGAACACTGCGGTCGTCGTAGTGGCTTCTGTTTGCAGAACTACGGTCAGTAAGATTGATGTAGGGTTTGCCCAAAAGGAAAGTCTCATCACTTCTCAGTTGCTGCTCGATCATTCTGCGGCAGCTAGAAGGAATCTCTAGCATTGCTCTCACACATGATCTGCTAGCTGGGGTTTAAAACGTTTGTTATGTTTTAGTTATAACTTTGATATTTTATACACAGGAATACTTGTTTGAAATTCAGCAGTGCCAATGACTCAGCACGAGTTAAGATGAGCGATATGGAGTAATTAATGTTATTTTCATATTTACAGAAAACAACTTAGGTAAACAGTGAACTTCATAATTGTTGAATCGTATGTGCATGCATTATTTAAATAATTGAACATCATAAAATGAATTCGTCATAATCATATGTTTTATCATTGGTAGAGCTATGGAATTATGGTGCATATGGGAGTACGCAGATAGGAGGTGGAGAATATAATTCTTGGTGCTGGCGACCAATGTCCATTTCCATTTGCCTGTTTTCTTTCCTGGACTTCATATCTCTTCCAGCACGCTGCAGACGATGGCCCCGTGGCTGAGATCCAGTTTCGTGATGCTGCTCCTGCTGCAGGGGCAACTGCCGTTGCCGGCGATGGCTGCCGCAGATGTTCACGACAACGAGCAGGGAAAGTGTCGGGTGGACTACATGGCAATGCCAGGACTACCGGGAAACGCCGGGATCCCAGGAAACCCGGGCAATTTGGGCCTGGCTGGCCCGCCTGGGAAGGACGGGCGAGAAGGTCACCAGGGCCTTCCTGGCAAGAATGGCGAGAAAGGGGACATGGGAGAACAGGGCCTGAAAGGGGACAAAGGGAGCGTGGGAGAGACCGGTAAAACCACTTCACTGTTACTGCAACATTGCAGAGTTTTACAAAGATCAGATGTTAACTCGAGTGGCTGCACTATTATAGAGAATAACCTATCGCGTTAAAGACACTGTTTTGACCAAATTATTCATCTGTTGACAAAGGCTCTGCTTTTATGACAGCTTATCAAATGCAACATTACTTATGCATTATTTGTTCATAAATCTGGTACGATTAACGTGTGTTTTTGAATGTGTTGGATTTTTCATCAAAATACGAATCGGGCCCAAATTGCTTTTATGAAACGTATGTGCATTGTTACAATTTAATTATGGGCCCATTTTTATAATCCAATGAAATATATATTTTATAAATACAAATATGATAACATGTCTGAATAGCAACTGATATCATGAAAATATTAACATTTTCAATGTGCAGAAATCATGTATAATTCCTTTACAGGGTTGGCTGGAAAATTTGGACCGATGGGTCCCGCTGGACTGAAGGGGGATTGTGGACCTCAGGGTGAAAAGGGACACAAAGGAGATGCCCCACCTGACATCCCCATATCCGCATTCACCGTGGGTTTGACTGTGCCGAACCCTCCTAGTGGATCTCCTATCAGATTCAGCAAGGTCATGTACAATGTGCAGAATCATTACGACACGCTCCCCGGCAAGTTCATTTGTCGTTTCCCGGGTGTCTATTACTTTGCTTACCATCTCGCTGGAGGATCTGGCCCCACCCAGGTCTCCTTGAGACACAATGGACAAGCAGTCCAGAATACATATTCCTCTACCACCAGCATTTACAGCATGTCAGGGGGCTCGGTGCTGCGTTTGAGAAAGGGCGATGAAGTGTGGTTGCAGACCGAAGGTGCTAACATCAAGGCTTACACAGACGTTACCACTGACAGCACTTTCTCTGGTTTCCTGATGTACCCTGACCTGCCTGAGCAGTTACATTAAATTTATCAACGAGCTCTGCTGGAAGTCTGATCGTTAACATGTAAGGTTTGTGGTGCAAAAAAGCACACAAACAGCACACGAATAAACATACACTCTTAGACAGCACATGAGCAAACCCATACTATATTATATCGTGTTCATTCACTCTTGCTGGCCGAGTCATCCTTGAAAAAGAGCTGCGTATCTCAATGGGTAATTTTACTCGGATAATAAACTTCTGAACTGTATAATTTTTCGTGGTTTTGCTGCCTGGAACTTCGATGTGTTTTTAGCTGTGCCGCGTGCTGTGCAGCATGATGTCCGACGTTTTGGTCCATGTGCTGGGAGCTTCTTCCGGCTCCGGCCATGCAATTTTTACACGTTGTGCTGAGGGCTGCTTCAATAATCTGGATATACACTTTTGCCATCAAGTACCAGCGAAAACTGCAATTGGCCACAAGTTCAAGGCTAAACAATATGCTTGCTGGTCATAACAAGTGGGGGCCCCCTTGCCATCCAGCCTCTTTCCAGAGGTCACTGAATCCACAAGCTGCCAGCATCAGTCCTCCACTTTTGGCAACAACCATCTGGTATTATGCCTCATCCATTCTAATCCGTCTTTCACTCCATCAGTCCATCTTTTCTTTGTCGTCCCCTGCCTCTGTTTCCTTCCTCCACCCGCGTTGCTTTTGCTGGATTCCTGTTTTTGGTGACCTTCCTCTGGCATGGTCAAACCGTAGCAGACTGTATTCCTTATTTCTTTAAATGCAAATATACGCACCAACTGTAATCACATATGTGCAAACAAATGCAGGTGAATATCCAATCCACAGGTAACTTTTTAAAATATTTGTTTATGCCGAATAGAGGAAAATTGGATTCGTTTATAATTTCAAGCGTATATATATATATGTGTTCCACGATGCAATACTCAAACTCTGATAATCATTCATGTCTCACTATATACAATATTCACAGTCTGGGTATATATTAACACAGGTATAACATGTTCATGAGTCTATAAATGCATACCGGTGGCCAAATACGTGAATTCCCAATATCAAATAAAATGGACGGTAAGCGAATTATTTCCACACAATGTCACGTGTAATGCTTTGAGATGGTACGTGATATGGTGACAAAAAAATTCGCATGTGAATAAAAATTGTAATATTGTATGATGATTTAAAATGAATCGGAAATGATTGTACTTCTTCATTGAAAATAATCCATGTTAACAGTAATTGTCGGCGTATGACAGCAATGTTTGTGGGGAATGATTTCATATAATAAACAGAAAAAATAAAGCATTACAGCGAATAATGAGTGGTGTTCACTGTATGTCATGTTTATACATTTAAGACACTTCTTCAATACAATTTTGATTTGAAGCTTTCGTGACTGCATGGATCCATACTCGTTGGTTCTTTCGGTAAAGTCACGTAGGTAGAAAAATAATCATTAAAAAAATGTTCCTACCTACGTGACTTTACCGAAAGAACCAAAAAGTATGCTTCAATAAATTTTACCAATATACAATAATAATGACTCTCCCAATGCCTCCCACCCTCATACACCATCATCATATCAATCGTCTCCTCTGAAGCGGTTTAACACTACAGTATCTGTAAATTTCAGGATTTGTAATATTTGCTACGGCTGGTCGCACTCGTTACACACAAAGTGCTTGCCAGAAATGAACCACGATACAACCTTTCCGATCTCACCAAAGGGCATCAACCATCACGCGAACTCCGCTAATCCTCGCAACGGCTTTGGCTGACCATCGAACAAAGACGGTCACTGCATCTGTCGCCGTCTGGAGCGCTTCTGTGGCCGTCTGGAACGCTCTTCCTTCCGACATTAGGAAGCCACTGAAGCTGTGCACTTTTACATCTAAATTGAAAACTAATTTCTTTAGAATTTTTTTTTGCGTTTAGTTTGTTGTCCTAACCCCGCACCTCCAATTAGCACGGTTGGCTGTGATAAGTACACCAACTCAGTGTATAGATAATTCGCGTGTGTCCGTACGTCTGTTATGCTCTTGATCTCCCAAACGGTACGTGGGAGGATAACATCCATAAAACCAGAAATATTCTCTTGCCCAAGACATTCCTGGGAAATTGTGTAAAAGGGGTGCGAATATACATCGCAAATAAATGTAACATTGCTTCATTCCTTTTTCAATTAACTTGTCGCAACAAACAAATGTCTCTTCGTTAAGCTGGACTCGCACCACCCCCAGGCCACGGCTCACATCGTTGGGGAAGCCTTGATCCAGCAGTGGATTGACAGCGTGACATTAAATATTGTGATATAGATACGGTGCTACAACATTTGCAATTGGCCAGCTCGTGATTTCGGTATAAGATGAAGTTACCTCGCGAGCGCAACATACGTTTGTAAATGTGGCTACACACCCAACGAGGCCACGGGGGTTAGTTGTAAGTTCAACTACAAAGATGCCTCTATGAACAAAATGCGTTCACTTAACAAAGGGCACCAAACCAGCCACAACCAGTGGTGACCTGATGGCAGATGCGCTGGAGCATACTTCTGCACCATCTTCAAAGCATTACCATTCAACATCATGACTTAGTAATCATCATAAACCAATCAACTTCACTGTCAACTCACCAATCGCCTTAAAGCTTCATCATACATCTTTCTTTTTCATTAATCTCAAGTCTCCGATTAGCTATGTACAATGCGAAAGAAGTTCAACATATATATGTATATGTACGTTGAACTTCTTTCACACTGTACGTAACCAACTGCGGTAATCGGAGGTGCGGGCGGAGGACAACAAACTAAACACACGAAGCAGTTCTCAAGGAATTAGTTTTCAATCTAGATGATTTAAAAGTGCATAGCTCCAGTGACTTCCTAGTATTAGAAGAAGAGCGTTCCAGACGGCCGCAGCAGCGCATCTGGAATAAGGACTTTTTTAAATAGCGGGGGGGGGGGGAGGGGGAAGGTTTGACTCACTCAAATACGAATAAGCGGTGGAAGTTGTATCATTGTTAGGTGAGCAACACAGCACACGCGCAAGACAGCGAATAGACACCACGTTAATACATGTTTCATAAAGAGCAATATATCTCATAAACTCATTTCGTATTAAATGTTGTCGATAATTGAGGATGTATTAAAAAAGTGTGTTAAATATATTGCCGGAAATCAACCACGTAACTAATCACACACAGCAGCGCGTAGCATGAGATCACACACACTATCCAGCCACAATGGAACATACTGCCACAATTTAAACCATTAGTTTGTTTACCAGGTAAGGCCCACGGAGCAACAAAGCTTCTTATTGCGTGTGAATGTATCACAGACAAATATACTCTGCACGCATGTTTCTGAATTAGGAGCGGGAAACAGGAGGAGAACATGCACATTGCAAATAGACATCACGCGTGGAAGTTGGGATCGAACCCACGACCTCCTGTATACCAGGCGAGGGAGTTAACATCTCGACGTGACTTTACCGAAAGAACCAAAGAGTATGTCCACATACCACTTCGAACCAAGGATAATGCCGCGAGAGGGCACAATGGATAATAAGGCGATGAGGTGAAACCATGTACGTTCGGTCACTGTTGTCTTCATACCACAGTATGCATTCATTTATTCTGCGCGCGCGTACTGATGAAGCTGTGCTGGGCTGCCAAATGTCCCCCGAGGTTGAGCTGCGGAAATCGGAGTGTGGCGTCCTACGGCGTGAGAACCGCAGCGGTTTGAGAGGACGAGACAGACAGAGAGAGCTGCAGGTGGCGGTGAGGCCCGGAATGCGAGGAGAGTTTGGAGCTCGCAAAATTAGATCCTCTGGTTGAACCGTGAGTTCATCCGGGGACTTGGGTACCTAACGAGGCCCGCGACGTGGACGTTGATCCATTGCTGCTGTATTCACAGTCACTCGTGATATTGGCCAGACCATTGCACCCAGGCGTTCATTTTAGGTGGCGTGAAGCGAGATGCCCAGGCCAACGCACAAGATGCTCCATATTCTTGGTTCTTTCGGTAAAGTCACGTAGAAGGGAAATAATAAAATAATAAAAATAAAACATAGAGCGCTGTCTTTCCAACAGCTCTGTGCTTCACCTGAGGACGGCTGCTTGTGTTGTGGCCGAAACGTCGTGAGAATTTTATTTTATTATGTTAATTTTTTATTATTTTATTATTTCCCTTCTACGTGACTTTACCGAAAGAACCAAGAATATGAATCCCTGCAGTCACGAAAGCTTTAAATATAAAAAAAAAGATGATCCATTTCTACTTATGTTGCGCATAGCAAGCAGTCGAACCGAGGTCACTGGGATTGGAGGACAATACAACAACCACGTTAGGATTCCTCGTGTAGCCTACGTAGACTGTTGAGGGAAGTATTGTTTACGAGAACCTCGAGAGTCAACACGGGACGACAAGAAGGCCCGCCTTTGTCTCCCCAGTGCCTGCTTTTTGCACCACCATTGAGTAGAGACAAAGGCAGCACTGCTTTTTGCACCACCGGGGGTACCCGTGCGTGCACATTCGTGAGCTGGTGCTCTTCTTACGAAACTGGCAAGAGATGAATTTCTGTTCCCTGATATTTCTGCTGAAATTTGGACAAAAGACCAAGTGAAAAATAACCCAAATGCTCATTGTGGAACTGTGGTCATCCCGTTTGGCCTTACATTTGGGATGTGCATAACGGGAGATATAATAACAAGTCATTGGGCACGAACACTTTTGACAGCGGTTCCTTATAGAAGAGTACGTAAATGAGACAGAAATAATGCCAAAAGCGGTAGCGTGCATGAACGATATGACTGCTGTCACTGCTTGACGCGTGACAAAAAAGCAAGAAGTTTTTCGAGGATGTTGCACAAGCTATCACGTGTTTTCATGTCGGCAAAATATTTGATTCTGGGCATGTAAGGTCACCAATAAATAGACATTGGGGGAAAAAAACGATGATTCGACTCGGACAGCCGAGTCCAAGTCGGTCATCTGAGAAGTCACTCCATGCTCCTTCTCAGGAAAACTCGACTCAGCGCCGAGCGCCAGATTTTACAAAAGTCCTTCACTCCAAGCCGCAACGGTCAACTGGTACTCCGCCTACTGGCCCAGCTATAAAATAAGAGGCGACTTCAGTACCACTGAGCTGTCCACACTGAACACTGCGGTCGTCGTAGTGGCTTCTGTTTGCAGAGCTCACGGTCAGTAAGATTAATGTAGGGTTTGCCCAAGAGGAAAGTCTCATCACTTCCCAGCAGCTGCTCGGTCACTCTGTTAGACTGTAGCTCGAGGTAATTTCTAGCATCGCTCACACATTGTCTGCTCGCTAGGGTTTAAACAGTGTGAATTGATTTAGTTATTGCATTGATAAGATACACACAGGAGTCCATATTTGTAATTGAGTGGTCCCAAAGAGACAGGACCGGGTTTTATGGGGAAAATTTGCGATATGGAAACATTACATGATGCTCTTTTCAGTTGCACAGACAACAACTTAGGTAAACAGTCAATTTTATAATTGTTAAAAAGTGTGTGAATATAGTAGTTTTTAGAAGCAATATAACAGCGCAGCTTGCATCGTTCTTAATTATATTTTTTCATTATTAGTAGACCTATGGAATTATGGATCATATAGAAGTACGCAGCACTGGCTTTTAGAGATAAGATGAGCGATATGGAGTAATTAATGTTTCTTTCATTTTTACAGAAAACAACTTAAGTAAACAGTGAATTTCATAGTTATTGAATAGTATGTGCATTCAGTATTCAAATAATTTAACAGCACAAAATAATTTTCGATTTAAAGCTTTCGTGACTGCAGAGATTCATCTTCTTGGTTCTTTCGGTAAAGTCACGTAGAATGGAAATAATAAAATAATAAAAATAAAACATAATACAATAATTCTCACGACGTTTCGGCCACAACGCAAGCAGCCATCCTCAGGTGAAAAACAGGTCTGTCGGGAAGACCGAAAGAACCAAGAAGATGAGCACAATATAAATTCGTCATAATCATATTTTTTCATCATTTGCAGAGCTATGGAATTATAGATCATATGTCAGTACGCAGATAGGCGGTGGAGAATATAATTCTGGGTGTTGATGACCAAATGTCACTTTCATTTGCCTGTGTTCTTAACTGGACTTCATATCTCTTCCAGCACGCTACCGACGATGGCCCTGTGGCTGAGATCGAGTCTCGTAATGCTGCTCCTGAAGCAGCAAATGCTGTTGCCGGTGACGTCCGCCTTAAACAGCCACCCGCTAGAGCAGGGGAAGTGTCAGATGAGCTACATGGGACTGCCGGGGATACCGGGAAACCCTGGGATCCCAGGGAACCCAGGGAACCTGGGCCCAGTCGGCCCGACTGGGAGGGACGGGCGCGAAGGGAACCAGGGCCCGCCTGGCAAGAACGGCGAGAGAGGAGACCGGGGGGATCATGGCGTGAAAGGGGACAAAGGGAGCGCAGGAGAGGCCGGTAACAAACAAAAACCTGCACTGCCACTGGCACCATTGCCGGACATTGCAGAGTCTAGTAGATGTGCGGTGTGTCTATTGCGTTTAGGAGACTGTTTGGAATACATTATTTGTATTTGATGAAGGCGATCATATTCAGCATTGCTCATATATGTTTGTTAGTACAGTATACGTTTTGGGTATTTTTTTTAATGTTCCTATGAGTCAATGGAACAATTAATGATGTTCTTTTCGTAAAAATACAAATCAGGCCCGTACTACACGTCGGAGTTTTAAAACATGGATGTCACATCGTTGCAATTCAATTATGGTCCAATTATTATTCAATTATATATTTACTTATAAGTACAATTTGACAAAAAAACTTGCTTTACAGTAAATGGAAAAATTATTCTACGGGACATTTTTGCAAGTATCATGATGCCTTGCAATAGGTATCTATTTGGGCATGGACCATCTTAACACCTGTTTTATTGCCAGAAAAAGTAAACGGCCATTCTGCTTTGTTTCGTCATTCTTTACAATCCATTCTCAGGGTTGCCTGGAAAGATCGGGCCGATGGGTCCCGCTGGAGAGAGAGGGGATCGTGGACTTCAGGGTGAAAAGGGAGACAAAGGAGAAGTCCCGGCTGCCATCCCCAGATCCGCATTCACTGTGGGTCTGTCTGTATCGAACCCTCCCAGCGGATCTCCCGTCAGATTCAGCAAGGTCATGTACAATGAGCAGAATCATTACGACACGCTCACCGGCAGGTTCACTTGCCATTTCCCGGGCATCTATTACTTTGCTTACCATATCACCGGAGCATCTGGCACCACCCAGGTCTCCTTGAGACACAATGGACAAGCAGTTCAGAATACATATTCCTCAACCAGCAGCGTTTACAGCATGTCCGGCGCCTCAGTGCTGCGTTTGAGAAAGGGCGATGAAGTGTGGGTGCAGACCGAAGGCGCTAACATCAAGGCTTACACAGACGTTACCACTGACAGCACTTTCTCTGGTTTCCTGATGTACCCTGGCCTACCTTAACGGTTGCATTCAATTACTCGATTAGCTCTACTGGAAGTCTGACGCTTAACATGTAAGGTACGTGATGCAAAAAGCACACAAACAGCACGTGAACATACGTACACTATTAGACAGTACATGAGCCAACCCATACCGGATCGTTTTTCATGGTTACGCTGCATAGAACTCCGATGTGTTTTTGGTTGTACCGCGTCTTGTTCAGCATGACGTCTGACGTTTTGGTCCAAGTGCTGGTAGCTTCTTGAGGAAGCTTCTATCTGGTAGGCAAATAAAAGCTGTCAGCACGCACAATTTACCCTGGCCGTGCATATTTTAAGTGTTTTAATCTGGATATTCACTTTTGCTATCAAGTACCAGCGAAAACTGCCATTAGCCACTAGTTAAAGACCCAAAGAATGTGCTTGCTGGTCATCACAAGTGGATTCCCTTGCCGTCCAGCCTCTCTACAGAGGCTGCTGAATCCACAAGCTGCCAGCATCAGTCCTTCACGTTTGGCAATAACCATATTTTATTATGCCTCTCCATTCTAGTCCGTCTTCAACTCCATCCGTCATCCTTTCTTAGTCGTCCCCTGCCTCGGTTTCCTTCCTCCACCAGCGTTGCTTTTGCTGGATGCCTGTTTGGTGGCATGATCAATCCATAGCAGTCTGCTTTTTAGCAAGACTGTCAACACAAATATACACACTAACTGTGATCATGTATCGTCAAGGAGCATACACCAGCACGCAAATTCCGGTCATCCTCACAGTGGCGGCTTTTGGCTGGCCATCGAATAAAGATGGCCACTGCTTTGCGCGCTTTCAGATGAGTTCCTTTGCAATCTGGAACGCTCTTCCTTCCGATATTAGGAAGCCACTTTTAAATCTAGATGAAGTACTAATTTTTAGTATTGCGTTTTGTGTTTAGTTTGTTGCCCCCCCCGCACCTCCGATTAACACGGTTGGCGACGTACGGTGCGAAATAAGTTCAACATACATACATATAAACACATGTATGCCATTTTCAATGCAACACGCAGGCATTTTTATTAAATAATTGTAGGGCTTTTTGTATATTGCACCATGCAATACTCAAACGGTGATATTATTTTTTGTGGCAGTATATATACGTGTTAGTACAAGTATAAAAATGCACATTAACTCACAATTGCAAACCAGTAGCCAAATGCATAAAAATATATTATTCAACATAACACAATTGATGATAAGTACACAATTTGCGGTGACTTTATACAAACCAGATTTGAAAATGTTATCAAATTGGATATGTACTCCTTTGATAGGGTATGTTATATGGTGAAAGATAATATTTTTTTAAATCTTTGTATTTAAAAAAAAAATCTGATGATTTAAAAGGAATTTGAACTGTACTTTCTTTATTAATTTAAAATAATACATTTGAAATGTAATTTTCGGTGTTTGAGAGCAATGCTGCAGAGTATGTGTCGAGAATGATTTAACATAATCAACAAGCAGACAAAATAAAGCATTACATTGAGTAACACGTTGTGTTTACTGTCTGTTTATACAATTAAGCAACTGCTTCAAGAACTTTAATAAGAAACAATCATAATGATACGTCAATGGGTCCCACGTCATCATACTAATAGTCGCCTCTAGAGCAGTTTTCTCGTACAATATTTGGCAATGTCAGACTTTAAAGGCATGGGGCACCGCGGTGGTGAAATGTTAACGACCTCGCCTGGTATATAGAAGGTGGTGGGTTTGATCCCGACACAGGCCGCCTGCATGTTTGGAGTTTGCGTGCTCTTCCCGTGGCCGTGTGGATTTGTCTCCGGGTCCTCCGGTCTGTACCCCCACATTAGAAACAACGCGTTCAGAGTTTTTAGTTGCTATACATATCCATATGATAAGCCACTTAGTTGAGCAATCATATGTGGCCAGGTCGCTTAATATATCTAACAACTACACGAACTCATAATTATAGCATAGTGCAGAGGCTACTTGGGAAGCACTGGTGTCGTGCTTTGCAAACTCCTGTGAAAAAGAGCTTCACAGCTCACCAGACGCGTTCGTTGGTTTCTCAATCCGCTCGTCCTGGCGAGGGCCGCGGCGGCAGCATGTTGAGTAGGGCGGTCAAGACCTCCCTTTCCCTGACGACAGACTCTCGCACTCCATTACTATACACTGCTACATTATGGATTCCTGTTCCATAACTGAGCAAGCACACGCCCATGCAAGCACACCAGCACATGTCAAGGTAACCTTATTTGGACATGGCACACCTACATTACTTACGTACGACAAAATAAGAATTGGTCGTACCCTTTCTGGCAATAAAACAGGTGTTAATATATTCAAATACCAAATAGATACCTTTCGCAAGGAATGAAGTCCGCATTAACCACACGTACCTGTGGCAAAACATGCAAACAAGCATGCTCTGATAATTATCATAATATATGGATTGTCTTTGAAAGTGATTGGCCAACACCAGAGGTGGCCGAGTCTCATCAGCGTCAGACCCGGGCGCACAGTAACAAAGACGATGCGCGTATCAGAAGCATGTATGGCTCGCGTTGAGCAGTTAAGTCGATTACACCTCCTTAACATTATCATTATTTGCCATCTCGATATTTGTTATGGACGCACGTCACCACCCGCACTGGCGGCACGAGGAGTTTGTTCTTCGCTGCGACTTCCTACGAACAGGAATTTATTGTGACGCCAGGCGTCGTGTAGAAAACGAATCCGATTATCCGAGGGTTATACATGGGTATTGACGGACCCTTTTTTTAACCGGCATGCTCTTGAATAAATTATGAACATTACTCATGCTAACATGTTATGTGATAACAGTGATTACTATTGATAGACGATCAACGTTATCAAATGCCCACCTGAGTGATATAATAACGTGTTTATTTTATTCTTGCATACGGCAGTATGTTCAGGCGCCAAATGCCGAGGTGTGGTGGCCCACCAGAGGGATTCAGGAGAGGGAGATTTGATAGTTCGTGTGTGAAGATGTTTGCAAGCCAGTGATGCCATCCATATAGTTCTGGGTTCTTGAGGAACTCTGGACACACGCCATCACATCCCGGTCCTGTTGGTTGTTTGTGCGAGTTGATTAAAGGTGATGATGGTGAGTTAATTCTGGGCAGCTTGTTTGGTGAGCTTATCATTGGTGCCTTTGGAGATCTCCTCTCAACTGTGGCCATGTGAAGGATGGTCATCATGGATCCCATCATCCGCAATGTTATCTCCGAATTTAATCCACTTATCTATTACATTTTTTGCATATAATTACGGATAAATGGTCGTCGATAAGAGGTCATATATAATACTGGTGTTTCTGGTGTGAATTTGTATATGGAATACAGTAGAACTCTTATCCTCTGTCCTATTACCCACTGCTTTTATTACCTGTGAGTGCTATAGGGTCCACAAAAACTCCTACTATTTACACCTCAATTCATATTATTCCCCTGTCCTATTATAGAACGTTTTACTTTAATCCGTTACTTTTTCTCGGATAGATGTTGTGTGGCAGATCGATTCCATTATCTGGGGGTTATCCATGGGTATTTAGACTATTTGCGGTACACCGGTGCAGCATAACACCAGTCCTCATAAAACTGCCTAAAATCGATGAGACTTGCAAAAAAAGGTCAATAATGGCCGTTGATTTCGGTCCGTTAAACCGAGGAACCCTCCGACCAAGTCTCGGGCACGAGGAGTCAAATCTGCCTTTGGCATACGGAGAAGCCAATTGTCGTCAGGTTGGGTGCTTGCTATATGTCAACAAACTGAGGCTTCGTGTTCAGCCCGATCATATAAAACTTCTCGAGAACTGATTTTGACGCACCACCATCACCCCGCAATATTTTCTGACAGGGGTTGCGAATCGTGGGAAAAGACAAAATAATACCAAAAATGTGCTGTTTTTATACCGCGCAACACCGATGTACCGCCAATACGTCCACATGCATTATACAAGCTCCTGAAGTAGTGGCTTAAGCAGTACACACTTCCTGGACAATATACACGGCAGATGACTCATTGCAATGCTTTATTTTGCATATTCATGATATGAAATCATCCTCCACAAATACTATGCAGCATTCTTGATTTGAAGCTTTCGTGACTGCAGGAATCCATACTCTTTGGTTCTTTCGGTAAAGTCACGTGAGTAGAATAATAATAATAGATGACGACGTTTCGATCGCCACACAGACAACCGTCTCCAGGTGTCTCCAGGTGTCTTCAGGTGTCTTCAGGTGTCTTCAGGTGGCCGTTGACTGTGTGGCGATTGAAACGTCGTCATCTATTATTATAATTAATTTTCTTCTATCTACGTGACTTTACCGAAAGAACCCAAGAGTATACTATGCAGCATTGTTTTGACACATCAACCATTACTTTTAAAATGTATTATTTTAAAAAAATGTAAGTAATGCTACATAGTTGCAATGCAATTGAAGTGATCAGAATGATTTTTAAAAAAATGTCACTTACAAACAACTAATCACCATTTTTTTTTATCAAAGAAGTACATATGCAATATTTGAATTACATGTTTTTATTTGTATACAATCAATGCACATTGTTTTAGCAATAATTAACTCACCATCTATTATTATGCTTTATGTTGTGTCTTTAGCTATTTGTAACTGTGTGTCTATGTGAATTAATCCGAGAGCCATAGAGCTCAACCATGAACACCTACACACTGGCACGCCGTGTACGTATATGCTGACGTATTGTCTCCTAGCGTACACACATGTCTACGTGCTGTTTGCGTGCTGTTTTGCACCACACCTTACGCGTTCAACGTCAGACTTCAAGCAAAGCTAAATGGAACAGTTCTTAGGTAAAAAAGCGCCTGTTCAAGGCAGGTCAGGGTACATCAAGACACCCGAGAAAGTGCTGTCAGTGTTAACGTCTGTGTAAGCCTTGATGTGAACACCTTCGGTCTGCACCCACACTTCATCGCCCTTTCTCAAACGGAGCACTGCAGCGCCGGACAGGCTGTAAAGGTTGGCGGTTGAGGACATTTTTAACTGAACTGCTTGTCCATTGTGTCTCAAGGAGACCTGGGTGGTGCCAGGCCCACCGGTGAGATGGTAGTCAAAGTAATAGACGCCCGGGAAATGGCAAGTGAACTTGCCGGTGAGCGTGTCGTAATGATTCTGCTCATTGTACATGACCTTGCCGAATTTTACAGGGGATCCGCTGGGAGGGTTCGATCCAGACAGACCCACGGTGAATGCGGATCTGGGGATGGCAGCCGGGACTTCTCCTTTGTCTCCCTTTTCTCCCTGAGGTCCACGATCCCCTCTCTCTCCAGCGGGACCCATCGGTCCGAATTTTCCAGGCAATCCTGTGAAGGGATTATAAATAGTTTCTGCACATTGAAAACGAAGCATTTGCTTTGGGTTGCTGGAAGTCATGATTTTAGAAAACGGAATTTATTATTATTTTCAGACTTGTATTTATCAGGAATATTTTTTTTGGTATTCATGACTTGCCCATAATTTACGTGCAGACATTTTTTTTTGCAATGTCCAACTTTAGTAAAAGCATTGTTCTATTTTTTACAATGCCACACTTCACTTGGGTTGTTTGCCTCAATGTTTTTAATGAGACATCAACACGTTTATAAAAAGTTTTATTTAAAAAAACATTTTTTAAACATACTTTAATGAAATGTACCGTACTACTAATGGAAGAACTCCACGACTCCAGGAAGTGGCCCCGAAGCTTGCCATAACGTAAGGGACTGTGGTCAATTACAGCCAACGTCAGTTGACCGTGGACAATTAGACCCAAGCCGAAACATAACATATAAAAACATATTTTAAAATATATGTATTTTATGATAGAAAATAGTATTGTCATCAGTATGACATAAGTATACCAAGTTTACAGTCGATACCACATTAGGAAGTGGGTAAAAATTGAGTTACAAGATTTGAGGACACAACAACGACAACAATGACGACAACGACGACAACAACAACAGACAGAGTGAATTAAATAAGAGCGTGTAAAAATCAGTCTTATACTCTTGAATTAGGCACAATATATATCGTATATCCAAAAACATATTAAGGTAATGTTTAGAGCAGGACCTTTGTCAACATAGGAATACATTGGTCTAATAGTCTGCTTAATGCAAGAGGCACACTGAATATGTGTGCTGTCACTAGAAGTTACATCTACTGGGAGGCCCAGCAATGGTGCAGTAAAAGTGCAGGGGATTTACCGGCCTCTTCTGCGCTCCCTTTGTCCCCTTTCAGGCCCTGATCGCCCTGGTCTCCTTTCTCGCCATTCTTTCCAGGCTGGCCCAGGTGACCTTCTCGCCCGTCCCTTCCTGAAGGGCCGACTGGGCCCAGACTGCCTGGGTTTCCTGGGATCCCAGGGTTTCCCGGTATCCCAGGTATTCCCGTGTAGCTCATCTGACACTTTCCCTGCTCGGCGGGGTGGATATCTGTGGCAGCCTTCGCTGGCAGCAGCGGCAGCAGCAGCATTAGCAGCAGGAGGCTGGATCCCAACCACAGGGCCATCTTCCGTAGCGGCTGCAAGTAACGACGTCCAGGAACCAGAGGCAAATGCAAAAGTGACATCGGGGTTATCAGCATCCGCAAGGAGATTCTCCATATGACCCACAATTTTTTTCGGCCGACTGATGTTGAATCTAAAAGGAACCGTAACATGTGCAACCCTGCAATTCCTTGCTCAAACCACTGCTGACAGATGGGCCTACACTTGTGAGCTCTGTAGAGGGTACTTTGCGTACTCTTCCACGCTGGGCAGATATCTTGCCAGAGTTGGGAGTGCCCACACTTTACCTCACCTGTCAATCGACTAACCTGTATCAATGCATAACTGCTGGGTGAACAGAGGCAGTGGGATTAAAGAAACGTGCACCATTGTTTCAGCTGCTAGATAGAATAGAACCGATGTCTGGGTTGCAAGTCCATCGTGCCAACCTTAACACCAGGGCAGTAACTATCATCTGATGAAAAGGTCTCATTATATAACTCCCATCTGTCTACCCCATTATGATCCATAATTCCATAGCTCCACCAATCATGTGAAGACATGATGAAGCATAATGCACGCTTTGCTGTTAAATTGGTTTCAGTACTAAATTTGCAGACTGCACAAAAATTGTGAAATTGACTGCTTACCCAAATGTTCCTATGCTGAAATGAAGACACAGCTGTTAAATGCCTCCATATCGCTCACCTTAATCCTAAAATCAAGTGCCGAGTCTTTTTCACTGCTTAATTTTGAAGAAGCGCTCCCATGTGAAATTACAAAGCGATAAACAAAACATAACCTCACTTCATGGCATGGTTCAACTAAAGCCACCAATTGATGCGTGGTTAGAATTGTGATATTAACTGAAACTTCGACCAGAACGCAATGCTATG